ATGTACAATACAAAACTTAATATTTAAAAGAATAAAGATAACAGTTACTCAATTATACTTATATGGAACAACTAAACATTAATAGTTAATCGACTATAGTTCACATGTAGTCGGTAAAACTTAACAGTTAATTAACAAAACTTAACATTTTAAAGGAAAAAATTAACACAAACTCCACTATACTTAACATAGAATAGGTAAACGTTAATAGTTAATTTAAAATAATGGATGTATAAATATTCATTAAATTAATTATTAAGTTTTACCTAATACAAGAGAACTATAGCAAATTAATTGTTAACATTTACCTGTTCCATGGTAAGTATAGTGGAGTAAGTGTTAACTTTTTCCTTTTAAATGCTAAGTTTTGTTAATTAAATGTTAAGTTTTACCGACTACATGTGAACTATAGCCGATTAACTGTTAATGTTTAGTTATTCCATATAAGTATAATTGAGTAATTATTATCGTATTCTTTTGAATGTTAAGTTTTGTAGATTAAATGATATGTTTTACCTAATATATTTAAGCTATAGTTGACTGATTGTTAACATTTACCTAGTCCTCCTTAAATATAATTGAGTAATTGTTAACTTTTGAATAAGATTATATAATGTAAAATATCAAGTAAGCTTGAAGATGTTGCCGTTGTAGTCGGTCTCGGCCATTATACTTTATATGGAACAACTAAAGGTTAATAGTTAATCAGCTATATTTCACATGTACAACACAAAGCTTGCTCTTTTGGAAATTTCCACATCATATATAGACTACGTAAATCAATAGAATTTTTATATTAACAATATTTAAATTTTATTTTCACCTAGTCAAGTGGTAGACCTTTTCACATCTTCATAACTAATAATTAACATTTCAGTTTCAAACAAAAAAACCAAGTCGGTCAACAATATTATCACATTCAAAACCCATAATTATCTCAACTACATTCATGCAATATTACTCCAAATCCCACATCCCCTCCCTCTTTCTCTATTATATATACCTCTCCGCACAACACAAAACCCCAAACAATAAAACCAAACACACCTTCAAACGGAATTAATCGAAGAAATAGACTGAAGATTCAAAGGAAGAAAAGGAAAAAATAATGGTCACGTTAAAATCCCAATTCTTCGTACTATCATCATCATCATTATCTCCATCACCATCGACCTCATGCTGGCGGCACGTGAGATTCCAAGCAAGCCTCCAAGCTCCAGTCAATCCGAGCAAAAACAAGCCCACTATCTCTCTCTCCAAGCAATTCCCAGCTGCCATGATCAACATAGAGAAGCTCTCCCTCATAGATCAAGATAATATTATGATCAACAAATTAAACCCCCAACAAATGACACACAGATCATCTAACAATACCGACGAGTCTCTAATGTTCAAACTGTACACAATCGCCGAGGCAGCAACAAACAGGGCGGAGATACACTCCATCACCGGTGAGCAAATGAATGACTGGAACAAGCTCCTCCTCTCCTCCATTAACAGTCGGCCCCCTCAACATCTCGTCGGCCATCCTATTCTCCGTGGCCACATGCATGATGGTGCTCGTCAACAAACACGCGCCTCAATGAAAAGCACACCAAACTCCCCAATTGCCTGCAAGCCTTCATTAACACAATGAAAGCTACAAAGTCGAGTTCGATGTTTAGTTGGAGCATTTTGTCGATAGCTTGAGAGCGGAGTGGGGATTGAATTGGGAAAGAAGGAGAGTCCACGGGAGGTGGTTGCGGGGGGTCGCGGGATTGGGAGAGGAGGGTGAGGCTCTTGGTGGGGCCGTAGGAGAGGACGAGGGAGGAGAGGAGAGGTAGGGGTTTGAGAGGAGGTTGAGCTTGAGAGCGAGTGAGTGGATTTGTGAGAGGAAGGGAGGGGGGAGGGGGGGGGGGGGGGGTGAGTGCGCGGGGGTCGGGGAGTTCACCGGAGAGGAGGGTTTGAAGGGGGTTACAGGGGAGGAGCTCCATTTGAAGGTTTTGTTTGGGGTTTTAATGTGGGTTTGCTTGGGCTTTGGGTTTTTGTGTTTCTGGCATTTGGGGGCTTGAGGGTGTTGGGATTTGAGGGAAGAAGATTGAAGAATAAGTGGGGAGGGGTAAAGTTGAGGCCATGGGTAAAAAAACATATAATATTAGGCTAATTATGAGCTGGAGGGGTGTGGCACAATTTTTTTTAAAAATCGAGGGTTGCAGCACATTACAAATAGTATGAAGGGTTGGGGCACATTGCTTTTTGGGTTTTGAGGCCTTAAAGCAATTTTTCCAATAATTAAATATGAGACTTTTTCTCTCTCTCATAGACATTTCTAGCTATTTGCAAAATATGGTTAGAGTGTCTAATGAGAAAGGATTAAAGTTCATAGGAGTTTTGTAACTTCCAATACTTAGGCGGATTAAATAAGACAAGTTCAAGGGTAAATGTGGATTAACCCCCAACATTTATTTAATTCAGCCCTTGTTTCAAATAGTCTCTCATTTT